ATCCCAAACCATGCTTTCTGTATTATGACAGGGGCCATGCGCTCCACACCATATCAGACATGGAAACAATTACTGGTCTCCATGCTCTGGAAGACAGGAGAGACACAAAGTTCTCCACCCAGCTCTCCAAATACCACCACTTGAAAGAATAACCCATGCACAGCCGACTGCAGAAACCCCAGAGGGCTAGTCTAAAGAGAACACGTTTAATTAAGAACGCAAATGTCAAGCTCGCTGACCTTAAACTCCCTCCCATAGTGCTAAATGTTCCACTAAAACCTTATAACCACTCCCCTCCCCCCTCCTCTTGGTTTAGGATAACCTGCCAACAGTCAGAACTACTGTAACAAGGATCGCCTCCAAATCATCAGTAAGCAGAACTGATATGAAGTCAGTTACAGAAAGAGAGATCAACAGACTTTATCCACACCAGAGCTGGATTAGAGTGTATGCAGATGGTTCAGATAAGAGAGCAGTAAGAGACGGAGGAGGAAGAATATTCACAGAATGCCCAAATGGTTAAAAAAAATCAACCAATCTATACCAACAGGTTCGTATTCCTCCAATTACAGAGCAGAAGCAAATGCACTTTTAGTGTCATTATCTTTCATAAATGGACAATAGCACAGCAAATATAGCAGAGTGGTCTTTTGACTGATGCTATGTCAGTTCTACAATCAATTATCAACCCAAAAGACACTCAGTTTGTAGACTTGACGCAACAGCTGAATCACTTAGGCTCTTCAGTAGAACAATATGTAATGCTGTGGATTCCAGGCCACTGTGGCTTGTAAGGCAATGAAAAAGCGGACAGATTGGCTAGAAGCAGCAGTGATATGGTACTACCAAATAGTGACTCAACCCACCAAGAGACTAAAACATTAATACTATCTAGTATCCAAGAAAAGTGGCTGGACACAAACATCAAATACTCTCCTTAAGACTCGCTTTATCGCCTCTATAGAGATGCACAATGTATTATATTCAGATTAAGGAGAGGGCCCAACAGACTTGGTCAACATGTGTTCAAAATTTTCGGTGAAGGAAACACGGAGACGTTTCCAGTCAACTTGGCACCCGAAAATGCTGATCATGTGCTCAAACACTGTCAACTGTATGCTGACAACAGAGACGCAATCTGGCCTGTTCCAACCACAATGAAGACAAAACTATATGGTACACAAGAAGATATGGACTGTACGAATGTTGAATGTTGATTTAAGAATCGACATCACAGCACTCGGGACACCCCCATAAACACTCCGTCTCCATCTTTCGCAGCAAGCAAAGAGTTAAAATTTCGATGGTACCAGTGTCTGATTGAATATCCGTCTCGCCTTTCCCCTGAGTGTCGAGCGTCGGCCAGATACCCTTGTAAATCTTCGCGGTGACATTCTTCTCAGACCGTAATGATCTGTCTGTTCCTCGGCACTGTTAACTTGCTCCCAAAGGGCCCTCGCGACATCCAGCTTGTCATACATCTATTTTACCACCAAGTAGTGCAGAATCAGAAAGTATATCTGCCTGCTCATTTTCCAACGCACCGGCAGTCCCTGGAAAAAATATCAAAAGGATGCTAACTACCCGGGACCTCTGAAGTGAGGCTTGGCACTCTTCACGGAACATGCCTGTCTCCACCTTTCTCAGCATGCTCTGTGAGTCAGTTAGAATGATGGCATGTGTATACAGCTGATTCTCAAGCCAGCGGAAGGCAGCAGTGACTGCCTCCACCTCCATTCTCAAACTAGACGTTGTGATATCATATGCCAGGCTTTGTTGCACAAAGCGACGTCCATTTGCCTTTGCTATGAAACTATGAACCCCCATGCACTTCCTCTGCGCCTCAACGCAGAGCCATCTGTATAGACAATAACATCACCTGGGCAGACATTTTCATGAATAATTTGTTAAACTTCTGATTCTGCAGCAGCAGCTGGCCAGTCCCTGCACTCACGCCCCAAAGTGATTAGAACCCTACACAAATATGACACTCTGAACCACTCCTCTTCTCGCCTAAATTTATCAAGCCTGCATACATGTCCAGGTTATGTCTTCACCTAGCTCCATCCAAGACTTTCCTCTTTTCAGTCTGTGACCCTTAGCTCTGAAAAGGGCTTCATGGAGGAGGTGCCTCTTCTCCGCAGCTACTCTGAGATATCACTTTTGCCTGCAGAACTTCGAGCCTATCTGCAATAGTAGACAGTGCAAGTATATATTGCATACATAGGGGGGTATCTCTTGCACATCCCAGAATTACCCACATGGCTTCATTCTGTATGCGTTCAAGTTGTATCAGCTGACTCTTTGATGCCATAATCTATCATCGACAGGATCAAATTTTGAACACTATAAACAACATTCTTTGTTCCATGTCCATGCTGCCATAATCTTGAGAGCATTGAATTCTTTTTTTTTTTTTTTTTTTTTTTTGGGCATTTCACTGCAACTGCATCTACATGATCCCTGAAGGCCAGGCTTTTATCGAAAATGATACCCATGTACCTCAGTTTGTTTTCTCTTTTGATGTTACTGTTATTAACTGTGAGGTTTGGAACTTCAGCTTTTACAATTCTATTGTCCAGAGTGCACCACAAAACAGCTGCTTTTTGTGAGTTGATGACAGCACCCATTTCAGCACAACAGTCAGGCACTTTGTCTACAGTTCCCTGTAGCTCGTGAGCTATCCGTCGCCTCTTTCTCTCCTGCCTGTATGCAAGAACATCATCGGCAAATGTCAATATTCTTCCAGCTCCTGGTGATTCAAGTTCTGCAATCTTGCTTGTATACACATTAAAGAGCACTGGTGAAATTGCAGAACCCCGAGGTAGTCCCAGGGCGATGTTACATGGTTCTGAGGTCCATGTACCCAGGCGATGGGCAACCATACGTGAATGTAGGACAGCTGCTATCCAGTTCCCAAACCACGGACAAACCCCCCTTCTCCATGAGTGCAGAAATCAAAATATATTTGACTCTATTGTAGGCATCCTCAAGATCAAGTGCTGCCACAACGGTCTCCTGTCTGTTCTAGAACCGCACATAAACATCAAAAGCAAAAGTAGTTGCATTGGACCAGGTATCTTTCCGTGGTCGGTAACTACCCAAACCTTTTGGCAGGAGCTCTTCCCTTTCCAAAAACGTTTGTAGTATAACAGCAATAATCTTCTCTAGCACCTTGCCGAAAGCATTTTGTAGGGTGATAATCCTGAAACCGCTGAGTTTAGAATGATCTTTGCCTGGTTTTGGGAGTGGAATTAGGTAGCTGTGTACTCATTCGTGGGGTACTGAAGCTGTTCTGATTGAAGTAAAAAGCCATCTCTCTCAAGTCTTCATCACTCATGCTCTTCATGTGAGATACTTGACTCCATCTGGCCCCGGTACAGTGTCCTTTGCTTTTTGCAATACATGTTTTATATCCTCCCCCTTAATAATATCCTCAAAATAATTATATGGACTGCACAATATCTTTCATAAAGGCTATCGGCCTCCTGATATGTTTTCTGACAGTGAAGGAGAAGAAGAAAAATTCATGTTTTTCGAAATATTATTTAGTGCACGGAAATCGTTGCAACACTCATATGAACGGTCTTTCCTTCTAACTTTCTCAGTCTTGCGACCTCCCGGCTAACACGCCTGGTCCTGACTGTCTCGCCCGACCTTGGATTTGTTCTCCTCTCTCTCCTTCTCTTCCTGGTTATCTCCCCCTGTTCCTCATTATCTCATTTCCTCTGGAAGTGTCAGTGATGTGTCCTTGCTGCTATCAATCACCTGTTCATTCTCCTCTTCCTAGATTCTCTGGCGCTTCGGCTGGCTGGACTTGACTACCTCAGAGCCATATGTGTTAATCAATCTCAAGGGGGATCCTGCCTCGCCCCAGTGCCACCCTGGGTCTAATGAATTGGCTTCCTTTCTGTGCATCAGTGACTATTAGCACATAGTCAGCAAGGTTGATTTGATTCAAGAACTGACATCACAGCACTTGGGGCATTTCCATAAGTGCTCCGTCCCCCATCTTCAGCAGCCAGAGAAGAGTTCCGATACTAATGGTGCCAGTTGCATTCTTATTAAATGTCCATCTTGCCTTTCCCCAGAGCCTCGAGCATTTAGCATCTGCCAGAACCTCTCGTAGCCAGCGATATTTTCAAAACCTAATTGCTTCCGCTGCTCATAAATTAATCCCAAGTGGGACTCTGGCTCTTTTCTACACTATGAACAATCCTACATCTTATTTTAAGAATACTATAACAAACAAGCTGATAGTATGAAGAGACAAAGAAAGACTGGGAGATGTTTGACATCATGGCATGAAGAAATATTTATATTAAGAATGACAGGCAACACACAAGACTGAAGACTGGACACATTATTTGACAACAACACCACAATACATCTACAAGAGCAAGAAGAATACTTAGAATTCATTTATTTAGAGTTCATTTATTTTAATTCATAGCACAAAGAGATTATGGCATCATTTAAAAATTTAATAGAAGAAACAATCCCAACCATTTTAACTCATATTGAGATGAGTAAACTAGAATACATCTTGATAATCATCAGTTAAAAGAATAATTATCACAATCAACCAGCATTCCCAAAGGGGGAGCTTTTGGTTATGATTTTGAGTTAGGGTATTTGCCCTATTTTAGAATGGCTTAACATTGCTCACCACCAAGTAGCTGTGAAAAAGACTCTTGCAGTGCTTGACACCCCAGCAAAATAGCACAAGCCCTGTGACACTGCCATTTATAAATGGGAAGGGAAGTCACTTTCTTTCTGGGCTGGAAAGGTGAGTTATAATATTATTTTAAATAATTATAAAGGGTTTGGCTAAGAATCAATGCAGAGATACCTAGGGAAAAAAAAGAATTATGTTTTACAATAGGAACGCAAATTTTCACAGAAATAAGGAATAACACTCAATAAGAATAAACATTTTAAGCCATTCCCAGTTCATAAAGTAATACTGCTGTGAAACAGATATGAATGACCCAAAAAAGTCAGCCGTCATCGCCAACCCAGTCCCAAGGGATGCATATCTGACCATCTTCCATCACAGAATAATAGTGAGACACACGCAGCTTTGAATTTTCCAATGACACACTTAGTCCCCAGTGTTGCTCACTGATACGTGAGCAACAGGATATCATCTGTTCTGGGGTAACACTTTCATCTTTGTTGAGCTGATATAGGCCTAGAACTTCTATGGCTTTTTTCTTGCTTTCTTCCTCTTCATCAAGAAATCTGAGGGTAATATGCAATAGCAATGTGTTTGAATGACTGAAGTACGTTATCACAATAAATCAGCGAAAAAATTTTGTGTTTATTTGAAATAAATGTGCTTTTGTTTTCGCATGTGCGTGTGTGCATGTGTGTGTGTGTGTGTGTGTGTGTGTGTGTGTGCATGAGAGCTTGTTTGTACAGCAAATGTGTATGTATTGAGGATGTAAAGTAGTAAGTATTTATACATTCTTGGCAAAAGCATATGGGTGGTATCTTTCTCTACCACTTTTTCATTTGAGATGATTTCCGGAAAATTCTTAAATTATCCACTACAGAGACAATGGTGATAGAAAGACAGAAAGAGAATTTTAAAATAAAATTAAAAAACGCCTTAAGGCAAACAGAGGAATTTAAGTATTTGGGAGCAATTTTCACATCCGACAGAAAACTGGACAGAGTAATTAGCTCGAGATGTGCCAAAGGTAATCAAGTAATGGGGCAACTCACACAAACAGATACCCCAGAGTACTGTTGTGTACTATCTGAGTTACACAAAAATCAGCACACTTTCAAGTGTCTAAAGATATAACGTTCGCTCCCTCAATCTCGAAGCAGGACTCAATGACAGTAGTTCTGCCACATAGCATATTTATTCGACAGAACACAAGAGGGTGTACACAAGCCCTCACATCAACAAGACCGCATACTTAGAGATGTAGACATTGATCCTAACTGGCATTCACACCTAGTCAACTTGTAGGATGAACTCTTCTATCCACTGGACCTTGATATTACTTCAGCAGACAACCACTGCTGACTGTAGAAGGACTTCACTTGCCCGTTCCCCAAAGCACACAGCACGCCAGCCTGTTGAAGGACTCCAATGACCGACAGGACTTCTAACACAAGTCCCCTCTAGCACACAGCTTTCATCAGCATACCTACTGTTTTCGTAGTGATTCTACATCTCCTTGCACCGTCACCCAGAACAGTCACTAGTGCAGCATCCAGTCCCTTTGGACTTACTCGCCAGCGGGACTATAACTTCGACCAGTACCGCAATCACAACCCTTACTCAGACCTTGATGCCTGATAGTTGCACGATACTCTGCCTCACTCGAGAGATACTGACTCTGACTTAGTCTCTCTGTCTTGGACTCTGACTTGGTCTCTCATATTACTGATGTACAGTACCCTCGTGCTGGGTGTGTACTACACCCGCACTTCCCCAGTGCTTTTGCTCTGTGGCTACAGCTCACTGATTCAGACTGTCTACGCAGCCCAATATATCCCTGCCAAACCCATGTGGGCGGCTGATGTTTACACAAGAGGCACGCTCATGTGGGCGTTCTCAGGAATCATGCTCATGTGGGCGTTCTCGAGACTCATGCTTATGTGGGCGTTCTCGAGGATCACGCTTATGTGGGTGGCTGCTGTTACATGAGAACCACGCTGTCACGTAATTCAGATTGTCTCTGTGCTTCTCGTTAGCCATGCTTGTCAGCCCCCACACATTGAATCCACGCGTCTATTTTTCAAGGCGTGCATGCCTTGTTCGTGATAATACTTTTTCACTAGTCAACATTCTCTCCCCCTCATTACTCTGGCCAATGTTGACACTCTTCCCCTTGAACTCCCGGAAAGTACTATTATACCACTCTGTCTCTTCACACACTATCACACTCTCCCAAATCAGCACGCAACAAGTACTAAAATTAATCTTATCAGAACTATTTTTGGCCAACACCATGCTAACAGTGTCAAATATGGACACTTACATCTTTCAATGAACGTAAAATTGTGACAACAGAGATTAAATGCTTTAGAAGAGCTGTAGGAGTTTCAAGGAAAGACAGAATACGAAATCATAAAATCAGACGAATTCTAGGAATAAAGCCAGTCTTAAAGGTCATCAAAGAACAACAAATGAGGTGGTTTAGACACCTAACAAGAATGCCCTGGTACTATCTGCCACAGCGAGCCACACTAAAACATTACAACGGGTATAGAGCGAATGGAAGACCTCAAAAAAGATGGAGTGTTGGCATTAAGAACAGCCTTGCAGAAATTAATATCAGTCCTAATAGTGCTCTTGACAGAGCTCATCAATGAATGTTACATCTCCCCCGACACTTCAATGAGGTACAAGGTGGAAGAGAAGAAGAACAAGTAATTATTTTTGTTTTTTTATCTGCTTCATGTTTCTGATTTCCGAACACTGTTTCTTAGAATCAGGGATACTAGTCTAGCACTACCAGTTTTTATAGTTTTATTTTTCACAGACCAATATTTTAGACTATACCTGGTTATACGTTGTAAAATGCCAAGAGCTTCATGAATATTTTCGTGGACAAAGTCAACAGCCAGTGTTCCAGGGACTGATGCAGGAATCAAAAACTGGCCATGTGAGGACAACATCATAGGACTAGACTCCCTGAGGGGAAGAAAAGCTGGTAACGTTATTAATTATAAATGTTATTTACTGTCAATTTAAATGATATATTTTTGTTATGTGTCTCCACAGAGGCTTGTGTATTTCAGTATCCCAAGAGCAAATGCTGACTGTAGCTTAACTACTGGTACGGTCAGAGAAACCAGACATGCTTCACATCATGTCATCAAATGCAAACATATATCATATACAAAACAGTGCCAGGTCCCTTGCCTTGAAGGGGTCCACTCCAATACTATTGGTAGTCAATTACCACTGTGCTGTGAAGTCAAAGCACAGTGGAATAGGGTAACAGCTACTGACCAAACACCTAGGACACTCAACATGCTACTGTGGAACCTGAGGGAACCTAGAAACAAATTCTCCCTAATAAAATATTTTTACTAGTCCTTTCGCTGCTACATTCCTGTGCTAAGCAATGTGAAAAAAAAAGTATCTGTGCGCAATACTTTTCTGTCCTCAAAATGCAAAGGATGTGTAGGCAGTGAGGGCTATATTTTGTACACCTAAAAATGTTAACCCTAGGGAAGTGTGTGGTTGGTGCAAGCGTTCACAAATCAGGTACACTGTGGCGACTCCAAGAAACCTTGTCTTTCGTCTTCTTCTGCCTTTCTAGCCCCCAATGGAGCATAGGCTCTCAACCAACTCTATCCTTTGCTATCACATGCAGCTCTCCCCATGTACTCCCTATCTTTTTTTTACTTCATTCTCCAGCTCTGTTCTCTATTTGTTTTTGGCCTTCCTTTATTCCTATGCCCCTGGGTTCTAGTGCACAGACATTCTAGTTATATTGTTCTCCGGTTTCCTCAATGTGCATCCTATCCACCACCAGCATCTTTTCTTCACCTCTTGGTCCACTGGAGCTTGCTTAATTCTCTTCTAAAGTTCTATTTTAGTGATTCTATCATTTTATCATGCGTGCGTGTGTGCATACATGCGCGTGTAGCATGCCTGTGCATGCGTGCATGCAAGCCTGCGTGTGTGTGACCTAGAAAATAAAGATGACTAAACAGTGAGACTGCAGTCTTCCCAGGAAACTAACCGGGAAGGCTAATCCAGTCAACAAAGTAGGATGTGTTAGCCAAAAGATGCAAATATTGCATCCATACTGAAACAGGCACAACGCAATTACATCTGATGAATGCAAGTGGGATTCTATGCATCCAGTCCACTAGAAAGACACTACATACTACCAACTTGACAGATGAGAACAAGTATCAATCTTTTGACTCCACAAAGGACATGATAGGCTAAAATACCACTTAAGCTGTTAAATAAGCTAAACATAGGAAGCAGTGATAAATGTAACTGAAATTGGTAAAATGGCAGCTAAACACTTGCTGCAAGTCTCCAACAGAAAACTATTCTTGCCGACATTTGATAACAAACTCTATGCTGATGTCAACAACCTCAAGTTAACTGTTGCTTTCTTTAAATACATTAATGTTTATGGCTGAAGGTGTAAGAAGAAGACACAACAATTGGCAGAGATCTTAGAGCTGATGGTCACTAGAAATGCAATATTCAGAAATCATAAAGAGAGAAACCCTAGGCATTCATATAATAAAATATTTTTAAAATATAAAAATTGGTTCAAATGTCTGTCAAGTGGAAATACTTATTCTTCTTCTCCTCCTCTAGTCCTGTATTGCCTTTCAGTGTCAGGTTTTGAAGAGGCATTAACTGAGAGAGCCTTGGTATGTGCTATGTAGGTGTTTGTATTTGCAGCCTCAGCTACTCCATCTATCAATCGCTCCACCGCTTGCGTGGTCAACCTCTGGGTCTGCTTCCATTATGTCTAAGAGACTGGGCTCTCTGTGATGCACTGTCTGTTGTTAGTCTGACACATGCCCAAACCATTTTATCTGTTGTTTCTTCATGTGGTTCAAGTAGTGGGAATACTACTTAATGAAAAGGATTCACACATCTGCTACTAAAAACCATACTCAACAGAATCAAGCCTTGCTAAAAGTATGCTTTCTAAAATTAAACAAAACAGGCCCCTTTGTCCATATACTGTCCCACTGAATGCCCTGAGGCATCAATGGGGAAACTGTAGTTACAAATGATGATGGACACAGAAGTCCACTTTGTGAAAGTCTGCAATACTAAAGAACTGATGCATTTTTGTGTAGGTCATTATTTCATAGCATATCTTATACAATTACTTTGATTTTTGCAGTCAAAGAGGAAGGAACGTACAATACAATGGGGCACCAGTGTAGACCTCAAGTGCATCTTCTTGTTTGCAACCATTGCTGGAATAGATGCAATAACTTCACAGATGGCTGGAGATGTTACATTTCCATAGTTTAATTCGGGGGGGGGGGGGGGGGGGGGGAGAAGAGCCAACTAATAGAAAGAATTCCCTAGCATGAAAAGGCAGGCTGACAGTTTCTAAACTTGAGAGTTGTCAGTTAAGAAGTAAAATGCAGGGGAAGGTCCAGGATTTAAATTGTGTGACAGAAGATAATAAAATAAATGTATCACTATGTATAGGCAGATTCGATACAGGAAAGTCTAAATATCCTGTCACCTTGCTCATTTAAGATGAATTAGGATCTAATAAGTCCCGAAAGAAGAGATTATAGTGGGTTATCTGACACATGCCTTGTTCACAGTGAAGAACTGTGAAAGGTTTCAGATTATAGAAAGATAATCTGAACAATTCTATTTAAAAAGACAAAGCTAAACTGCTTCTGGATCTAAAACTTTCTGTCTGCCAAAATTTTTTCTTTTGCTAACATCTGCTTTGTACCGTTAGGGGAGACAGTTTGAAGGATGCTAGGCAGCTGAGCCAGGGCTTGAGCTTATTTGCTTGCTGTCAGTGACTCCTTCAATCCATCTTTTAGGTCTCCCTCTGCAATTTGGTATTGTATTCTCTTGCTGCCAGTATTGCTGAGTTCATCTCCCTAAGTGTCCAAACCATTTCAAGACAGCCTAGCATATGACAGCTCTTTGGTGGCTAGAGAAAAAGGTGAAGACCGGGGTGCTTCTATTAGAGTGGCTAGCTTTACTGGAAAGGTCATGGGCGGTGAGAATACTTTGGATCTTTACTCCAGGCCATGACGGCTTGGTGGGTAATGAACAGGCAGACAGATTGGCTGGATCCACACCACTGGGTGGTGATTTGATACATGACAAGGCATATGTGGTCAAGGCCCTTCGGGAACAAGCAACAGAATCAGTAGAGAAAGAAGATTATTATGGCCTGGAGAGAATGAGGCACCTTGGTGTAACAACTGGGTCTGGCCGGCTCACTACACTCAGAGGAAAGGCAAGACGGACTTTTAACCAGATTGTGACCAGTACCATCAGTATTGGAACTCTGCGCTGGCTGCTGAAGGTGAGGACAGAGCATGTATGGGAATGCCCCGAGTGCTGTGATGTCAATTCTTGACTCAACTCAACTCAATCATTTCAGTCTTTGTCTCTCAAGAATTTACTGATTTATATTTCTCCAGTAGTTTTTCTAACCTTTTCATTTCTAACAAAATCTTTTCTCAGATTTTGAATTTCAAAGATAGATAGTTTACTGTGGTGCCCTTTGGTTCATTTCCAAATCTGATACTGATATCCTAAGGTTGAAACAAAGATTGCATTTGTAATTTTACATATTTGGACCTAATAAAAACAGTAACTATCTAACTTACCCTTCCACTACCAGCTGTAAAGTAGACAGATCTTTGTTCTTGAAGGTATGTATCACATGATCCTGGCAGCGTCGTAGAGAATTTAGAAGCTTGTTTAACAGAAGTTCATATTCTCCTGCCATAACATGACAATGTTGCTTTCTTTGTCTGACCACACAGATACTGTTCAACAAAGATGATAACTTTGACTCCATTTTGGGAAGGCGATCTAGTACTGCATCATATGCTTTTACAGACTGTAGAAGCTGCCCAAAAAAGTGAAGAAGTTAACCGCAGCCAAGTGCATAAATTCTTTTATAAGTTCTTCCTCTTTTCCTCAGCAAAATTATGTTGAAGATGAAGATGTGAGGATCATGTGTATGCGCTTTGTAATGTTTGATATAAGTTGGTCTTAACTTCTTAAAGATTGTTCTTGATGCTGTTATTATACTACTGATTTTCTTCTCTCTCAATATTCATTATATTACTTCAGCGATGCTCAATGTGGCAGCTGGTAGCAGGACATTCTCATTAGATGATCAAACAATCTTAGAACATAAAAACTAATAAATACATAAGACACAAAACAGACAAATTTGCCGGACATCAGTAGCCTCTTTTGGCAGTGGTGAAACTTGCAAGGTAGTTTGGTTCGGGCATGTGATTTTACATGATCAGACTGCAAAGACATTGGCGAGTAGTTGAAGAACAAAGGGGCAAAGAAGAACCTTGAATAACAACATCAAGAAATGGAAAGCACTAAATTATTGTACATGGTTCAGCAAGTGGAAGACAAAATAAGATGGCAGGTTTTTCTGTGCTAGTGTTTAAATCAATACACTTGAACAACCCTAACAGGTAAAGAGTTATATTATGTTAATGAGGCATGGTTGTTTGCCCTCAGACTTGCTTACTTTCTTTCTTAAAAAAACCTTTTGTTTCCATTTTATGAGTCTGAAGATATTTCAGAATTGGTTTGCTATTCCTCTTCGGTTTCCTACATAGGGATCTTGTCTGGCTTCATCTCTTTTGACATGTTCTTGTAGCCTAGTCAAGGTTGCATATTTATAGTCATCAATTCATTTGTGCCAAATTCCTATCACTCTGAGTGCATTCAGAATACAGAATAATTCACACACACAAATTTATACAAAGTAATCGCCCAGCAAAGAAATATATCTACAGTACAATATTTGTGGTCTTTGAATACATTAAGGAAGCATTGTGTTGCTTAGAGTTTATAAAATAGTAACCTGTATGAATATATTGATACTAAACTTATTCAGACAAGAAAAGATGCACACAAGTTACACATGAAGTTACTACAGTTGCTAAAAGTTATTCCCATTAGCCTTAAGACACTTTTCATAAACATAGTATAACATATAGTTACCGTACTTAGATCTAAATGAAGCGGAATATGTTATGATGATGTTTTTAAACAAATAGCTTCTATGAAAACGTTTCTGCATTTCACAACTGGGCGATTATGGTTTATACTTTTTTTTTCTAACTTTGTATTAGCCTGGTCAGAAAGGCCAGTAGCTCTGTCAGAAGGGCCAGTAGCCCTGTCAGAAGGGCCAGTAGCCCTGTCAGAAGGGCCAGTAGCCCTGTCAGAAGGGCCAGTAGCCCTGTCAGAAGGGCCAGTAGCCCTGTCAGAAGGGCCAGTAGCCCTGTCAGAAGGGCCAGTAGCCCTGTCAGAAGGGCCAGTAGCCCTGTCAGAAGGGCCAGTAGCCCTGTCAGAAGGGCCAGTAGCCCTGTCAGAAGGGCCAGTAGCCCTGTCAGAAGGGCCAGTAGCCCTGTCAGAAGGGCTATCAGCTTGCCCATTTCTTGTATCTCTACAGGTTCTGGTACAAAAACAAAATCGGATTGGCTTGCCAAGTGGCCAGATTTGGGTTCTCATTAAAGAAACGTAAGTTCAAATCCTTGGTAAGGTGATGGAATGTTTTTCTGCTGATGAAAAAAAAAAACATCCTAAACCTAACAGTTCAGTTCACTAACCATATGATTCTAAATCCTCAGGCTCAAGACCCCTTTCTCCTATATCACCTTAATAGTGGTAAATACTGGTAATAAAGACAGTATTTTTAATTGTCACTACTGTACTTTTCAATTTCTGTAGTTTCAAAGAGTGATTAATGTTCTATTAGCTCCCCCTTTTTACCTTTCCTTCTCATGTGTACTTGTGTACATTTGCATGTAGGTATGCTATTCTTTCTATGTTTGTATCTATTCTTATACATGCATGGATATAGTTATAAAAGCATGTGCAAATGAATTTACAGTGGATTCTCGGTTCTGGAACTTCATTCATACTTAAAAGTTATTTGGCAACTGAGCTGTTTGAAAACTGAATACACTTCCCCCATAAGATTTAATAGAAAATAGATTAATTTGTTTCTTAAGTCTAGATAACTGTTGACAGCTGGATACTACTTCACATACACAAATGAAAAGAAAATAAACTTACACAAAAAACAAAATGAGCACAAAAAACAAAATGAGCACAATAAACAAAATTTTATCAATGCAAGTATAATCTCTTCACATGTATAAATAAATGTAGATGAAGAGATTTTTCTGCTCCTTCTAAACGTGTTCCAGTTCTTTCCTGGCAATCTTATTCTTGTTGACCTCACTAGAAGAGCATTGTCAACTTCCCATGGCACTGCTCAGAACCTCAAATTATTACAGAAACAGACTCTGCCTCAAAATCTCCAATGATGTCTGCTACACAGTCTGGGAATAGTTTCCTCCAGGCTGAGTTCATGGCATTGTAGTCATCTGCACCCAAGCTTTGTTAAGGATGCATTTTACACTGATACCTCAGAATGATAGGAATTTTACATAAATGAATTGATTACTTTGTATCTGCAACCTTGACCAGACTACATGTCAAAAGAGGCAAAGCCAGACAGCAGCCCAAAGCAGGAAATGGAGATTGCTGACTTGATTTTTCCAGAATTTTCTTTAGCGGTTATGTTTAAAACACATTTGAAAGAGTGTTTTGTTGTAGTTTCTTAACCCACTGATTGTGATGACACACTTTTAACTTCTGTCCTGACTGAGTTGAGTTGAATAAAGAACCAACATCACGGCACTTGGGGCATTCCCATAAGCGCTCTGTCCCTATCTTCAGCAGCCAATGCAGAGTTCCAATACTAATGATGCCAGTAGCATTCTGATTAAACGTCTGTCTTGCCTTTTCTCTGAGCCTCGAGCATCAGCCGGAACCCCTCGTCATTCCCCCCTGCATAAATCTCTCCATACTGTGGTGATCCATCTGCTCCTCTGAACTGCACATGCTCTCCCACAAGGCCCTAACCACGTCTGCCTTATGCATCAGTATTCCACCAAGTTGTGCAGAGCCAGCCAGTATGTCTGTCTGTTCACTTCCCAACACACCGGCGTTTCCCAGGGAAAAAATCCAGACAATACTCCTCACCCATGTCCTCCGCAGTGAAGCATGTCACTCTGCACGAAGCATGCGTGTCCTGACCTTTTTCAGCATGCTTTCTGAGTCAGCTACAATTACGATGTGTGCGTGTGTGTCATTTTCTCTAACCAGCGGAAAGCTACAGTGACCGCCTCCAACTCCACTCTTAAATTGGATATTGTGGTATCATATGCTAGGCTCTCCTGCACCACATATCGACCATTAACTTTTGCTAAGAAACCCCAAGCACTTCTTTTGCCTCTTGACACTGAACCGTCTGTATAAATAAGCACATCCTATAAGCGAGCATTATCTTGAATTAATTGCTGAATTTCCATCTCCGTGGCACCTGCTGGCCAGTCTCTGCATTCCCGGCTCAATGTGACTATGACCCTACACAAGTCTGACTGTTCAGCTGGCACTTTGAACCATTCCCCTTCCTGCCTAATGTTCTCAAGGATGCAAACCTGTCTGATTGTGTCTTCTGCCTGAGCCATCCATGATTTCCCTCTTATTAGCTGCTGACCCTTAACTGCGCTGAAAGCTTCATGCAGAGGGTGGTCTGTGTCTGCAGCTACCCTGAGATATGACTTCGCCTACAGCACCTTGTGCCTACCTGCAACAGTCGGCAAACCAAGGATATATGGCCTACACACCACGGGGGTGTCTCTGGTGCAACCCAGAATGACCCGCACAGCTGCGTTCTGTATGCGCTCTAGTTTGTCTATCTGACTCTTTGAGACAGTAAGCAGTCCCAGACCATAATCATTGACGGGATCAGGTGCTGATATAGTGTGAAAAAGCATTCTCTGCTCTATGTCATTTGCAGCCATAGTCTTAAGTGCACTGAGTAGTCATTTTTGGCATCTTGTCACAACACTCTACACATGGTCCTTAAAGGACAGGCTCCTGTCAAATGTGATTCCCAGATACTTCAGTTTGCTCTCTCTGTTGATGTTTTAACCATCTATCGTGAGACTTAGGACATCAGCTCTAACGATCCTGTTGTCCGGAGAACACCACAAAACAGATGCCTTCTCTGGGTGGACAACAGCCCTCATTTCTGTACACCACTCAGTCACTTTGTCTACTGTCGCTTGTAGCTCTCAGGCTGTTTGTTCCCTTTCTATCCCCTGCCTATATGCAAGTATATCATCTGCAAAAGTCAGTATCCTTCCAACTCCTGATGCTTCCAGGCTTGCAATCTTGCTCGTATACACGTTAAAGAGCACAGGCGAGATGGCGGATCCCTGTGACAGTCCTGGGGCCAAACTGCATGGTTCTGAGGTCTATGAGCCAAGTCGGAGAGCAACCCGTTACGAATACAGGACAGCTGCAACCCAATTCACCAGCCAGGGACTGACCTCCTTCTCCTTCAGTGCGGTTATCAAGATGTCATTTCTTACTCTGTTATAAGCATCCTCAAGATCCAGTGCTACCGCCATAGTTTCCTGTCTGTTCTGGAACCCTTCATAGACATCAAAAGAAAAAGTGGCTGCATTTGCCTATGTGTCATTTCCTTGCCTGTAGCTTCCCAGACCTTTTGGGAGAAGCTTCCCCCTTTCCCATAATTCTTGCAGCTTTACAGCAACTATTTTCTCCAAGACCTTCCGTGGTGCAGTGACTTTTGCCTTTTTCAAAATGTGCTTGATATCTTCTACTTGTATCATGTCTTCATAATGCATATTCTTTAAGGCGCCAGCTAGCTCCTCTCTAACTGCATCCCTGATGTCTACATCATTATGATCTGTCTGAACTATAAACCTGTGGAGAAAAGCCTTCCTTTTCTTCATGTCTGTTGTCATACGCACACCATTATATCTACAAACTGTTCCCACTGATCTTTTCTTTCCATCTGCCTTTGCAGTTTCCAGAGTTGCCCCAGTGTTTTACCGCCACCCATACCATTCACAAAAGTTTCCCTCTTTGCTCTTTTGGACTCTGCAGCCCAGCGCTTGAAAACCTCAACTTTTTTCACATTCTCCACCATCTCCACTTCCTCTCGTGAGCTAGCGGGTGTCTGTCGTACCTTCTTTAGCTGCTTCACTGCAGCTCTGTCCTGACTGACAGTAAATAGACTTACCCACGGGAAGGAGCTTTGACATCCCTTGAATGAGAGTAGTTTCAAGAGTAATGTAGGGGGAGCTTAGGAGAGATTATAAAAGGGTGGACTTTAGGGCTGGAATGGGAAACTCTGCTATCCACACATGCCTTCAGCACACCATTTGTTGGGCTTAAACCCTAAGCTTTGAGACATAACTTTTAGTATTGTGTTTTAATTTTCCAGGTAAGAGAAACTATTTTCAGCCTTTATTTTGTGATAGAAATCTCAATATTCTCTTTGCTCAAGTGTGTGTATTTACTACATTATAGTACTCCTTAGCAGACATTTCTCCATTCTCGTAGGGCACTGTCTACATCAAAAGCGGCATTGATATTTTCTTGATGTGCAAGCTCAGACACAATATCTTCAAAATATACAGGCTCTGAATGAATACTTTCACTAGAAATATCAGTATCGGAAACTGTCTCACTGGTATTTTCTACTGCTTGTTAAGTTATAGTTAGATCTGACTTTAAAGCGACATGTCATTGTTTCACTGCTGATGAGGTTTTAGATCGTACTTCATAAGATTAATCAAAGCCAGAGTCATCAAACTGTTCAGTAATATCTTTCACTTCACTTTCTGAATTGAGAAAATCATATGCAGCAACAGAAAAATTATAAATTTGACAACAATGATCCTTTCGAGAATTGACGCCATGATGAACATTTTGTCAATGTCGCCGAAATGGGAGCTAACAATGAACATTCATCAAAAATATATTATAATCACTACAAAGTTGTTTCCCTTAAATTAATATAGACAAATGAATGGGCTAAAGGCTTCAAACAAATTCATTGCAAATATCATAATTTTAAAATGACAGCAAGCTTCCAAGTTACGATCACAAGAGATGTGATCATAGTAGGCAGGCGTAAGTGTTGCCTGATCGCATAATGTGCAATCGTGGCAGTCAGTGGGTTGAAGTTCACAAATTCCTGCTGACTCATAGGCTAGGTTAGAGTAGCTGTGGGTATGAACTTCCCTGTGGAACATAAATTCCTCCACCAGCTCATTCTCCAAACCTGGAGGGTGATCAGGAGCACTGTCAAAGAGAATCAAGAAAAGAAACTGCATATGCAAGCAGGAATCTAGACTGTGGGAAAGTTGCTCTTTTGTTGCAATCTCAATCTGTGAAAGTGCTTGCTTTCAGGGTTGGCAGTTCAAAAACATGGTTCTTTGGAAAACTGTATGTTTTACCCCAAAACAATCTGTTCAGAAACTGAACTGTTTCAGAAGGGTTGCATTCGAGAACTGATGATTCACTGTATAGTCTCTTCTTATTATTGAAATCCTCCAATTACTTCATGGAACTGTTGGGAGGAGAGAGTAAAGATCTTCTCTGTGCTCTTTCAATGTGGTATATTAGCTGGTCTTCATTTCTTTAAAGCCATCATCCATTTGCTGCATGACCTTCCCCTTGCTCCGTGCCTATTATATGTATTCAGTGTGACTAAGTGGCAAGTGGTACCAGGATATTCTTGCAAGGGTCCATATTTGATGCTGATAGTGTAAAGCTGGCTAAAAATAGTTCTTTAAAGAATTTTTTAGGTACATAAATGTATACTTTTATGTGTATCAACAATGGTGTAATTTTACTTACAGTTATCCATGTCTGAGGTACATCTTCACTACTGAGTATTATTTCACCAAGTTTGCTAACACCTGTGCTGTTGCTGAAGACTAGAGTTCTTCCTACAATTACAGGTAATGTTAATACTTATGTATTACATGTAACAAGCTATATAGCTGAATAAATATGAACAATAAACTGTAAGGGTATTGTACCTTGTGCAATTTTTTGAATAACAAATAAAACTAGCGTTTCAAAATTATTTCAATAATTGTACACTCGAATAAAAAACATATTAGAGATTTTTTTTACATTTTTTTTTTATTTAGGGCTATTCAGCTATGAACTTGAACAGCTAAATGTCCACTAATTTCTTGCAGATCTATTACTAAGACAAATTAGAAATTTAGAATGACTCTACTGATCTTCTAGGTCATTCATCATTATCAAGTGTGATGACAAAGTAACCTGCAGTCTGGTGTGAGAATGGGAGCTTCATACAGGAGTCCGGCATCATAATCAACTCATAATCAGCTTCTAGTTCATTTCTTGATTTTGTGTACTCAAATTAAACAGTGGCTTCCTTTTGTATATATTCCCATCACTTTCCCCACTAGCAAATCCTTTAAAGAGGAAGCCACCATGATGCAATGGCTAGTTGCTCGCCTGTGGATCCAAAGGCTGTGGGTTTGAAAATGAACAGAGCAGGACTTTTTTCAGAAATGACCATGGCTTCCAGGTTGACCCAGCTTTGATTGGGCACCAAGTAATGTCATGGGAAGTAAAGACAGAGAGTGTGATATTGACAATATCACCCACCAAGTGCTGACTGGTCTCAAAATAAAGGTCTAGCTCTATATGCCCAGTAGGCCCATAATTTGTTGATTTGCTACTCAAGCATTTGATCCGAATCAATCCTTATTACTCAAGCATTTGATCCGAATCCATCCTTATGCTTTCTCAACAGGGGGAAATGATTGATGGGCTTTCTTGATTGGGCTATCCAGCTATGAACTTCAGCAGCTAAATGTCCAATAATTTCCTGCGAGATCCATTACTATGACAAACTAGAAATGATGAAAGACTCTACTGATCTTCTAGGTCATTCTACTAGGTGATTGGTCTAAAAATATAGGTCTAGCCCTATATGCCTAACAAGCCCATAATTTGTACCTTTAAGGATAAGCTGAAGAAACTCTGGATGGTTATCAAAAAGTCTGTCGAATGATGTAAGGCACCCTCGAAAATGATGACAACCCCACACACTGTCAAAACGAATATCCTCCACTCCTAAATCCATCTGAAGCTTTTTCAACAGCCTGGCAACATCATCCTGAATGAACTTGACTGACTTCTCATACTTTCTTGATCTCTCAATGTTCATCTGAAGCCAGCTCCTGGACATAAATCAATTGAAAACTGTGAATGTTTTGTATGTGCATAGCTATTAAACAGTTATAAACAGGTGATATCTAAATAGACATCACTTATGCCTCTGTTCAACAATGGGGAGAAAAAAGAAAAGAAGTTTGGCTTTTTTTTTTTCTAAAAAGAAAAACTGAGAAAATAGCATCATAACAGAATATAAATAAAAATTGCCTTACTCTTTTTTTTCAGGTTGTTTTTTATTGCTTGTTTCTATCATCTAAGATTATATTTGTGATCTCAAGACTGATTAACAACGTCCAAATACAGTTCTATCTCATCTCTTTTTCTTCTTCCTGGGACAACATTTAAAATAGCAGGATGGCAAAACATAACTGATTTAGCCAGCTAACTAACAACTGATGCAGAACCTTGAGAAGAAGATGCAAAAAGCAAACTGATTAACAAGTAAACTTGTTTTCCAAGAGAAATAAATCTGAACGCATTAGTGACAATCAACAAACTTGATGGGGAAAAGCAAGATGACAATGCGAAAAAAAATTAACTAGAAGGCTTTGCTTGTACTGTATAACTGGAATAAGAATCAGACTTGATCACAGCTTGTGTAAAGGTAAAGTCGGGGGATGTGAACCAGCGTCATTGCACACGGTTATAAACCATAAGTGCTCTGCCATCAGTACGGACAGCTGATAAGAAACTGTCCGCCTGTGTTGCCGTTCGCACGTAACTCTGTAGCTACAGCGACATTCCTCCATTTACCCCAGAGTGTCACTCTGGTACCCATTTCGTAAAGGCTGGGTGAACCCCGGAAACCGCCCGGTTTCGAACACCGCCCATGGCTGCAGCGAGTTGCAGCTGGATTTGAAAATGCGACTTGTGTGAGATGGTAAACGATAATCACTTTATTTTGTTCCCTCTTTTTTCTTATTTTTCTCATCTCTCTTTTGCCTTTTAAATCTTCTGTCTATGCCTTCTCTCTCTCTCTGTTTTTCCCACTCTGTTACATTCAACCTATCATTTTCTTATGTTGCTAAAACAGTAAAATGTCACCATCTCAGTCGATTCCCCTCCGCAGTCACTGTTACAGTACTTAGTTTTCCCAAAGTTATTTTTTTCTGTGGTATTTTTATTTTCCATTATAAAACTGCTAGGCCCTTTTCTATTAGTCCAAGAAATCTAGAGCTATTTTTGTTATGCAAATTATAAAAAACAGCAATAGTTTAAAGTGCATTTCTCACAGAATGACATACAATTTGGCAACATATATGCTGCTAGCTTTTAATAACTCAATGTCAAATGGAGTTTCTTTATGTCAATGGCTCTTTAGTAGTTGTATTTTTTTTAAAGTGACAGAAATAAACAAACCATAAGTAATAAAACTAAACTCCTATGCAGTTTCTCCTTCATCATTCAAGTCATTAGTTCTTCAGTATCTGTAGCCCCCTTGTTAGGACGAAATCCATCACCACAACGTCCCTGCCTCAAAATTATGAATCAGTTCATTTGCTATGACACTGCAAATCGATGTGTACTTCTGAAGAATTCTGTAAGTTGGGCAGTTACGAAGGATGTTTTCAGGTTTCTAAAATCAGTTCCACTTGGATACTTTGTGATAGTATTCCTGTCTCTAGAATTTCGTCTTTAACCTACGCAGAGAAATTTCTCCCTGTTCTGCTACCGTAGAGTTGCTTCACTACATTATGTTTTTTTGGGTGTTCAGACTTGAATGATATTAATATTTATTATTTTGACACACAACTTGACCAACAGAAATTGAGCTCTTATTGTCATTTATCCTTTTATTGTTTTTTGCTCCTTCTCTGTAAAACATTACATTTTATTAATTATTTGATAAATACATGTAAATGAATTATGGAATTATGTCTTTAATTGCAAGAAACCGCTCTAAATAACAAAAAGCAGAAAATGTGGAAACAGATTAAACTCATCGATAAACAGATCTTGAATGACTTTAGTAAAAATATTAAAGGGTTCTTTTCCCACTTGTGGCATGAGGCATTCAATGCTATACCCAAATATTTTATAGACCAGTAGGTAAACAATGAGCGATGTGGTCCCATCAGTTAAATGCCTGTATATACACATGCACATGCTTATACATACATACATACATGCATGCATATACAAACATACAACAACAGGTTCTGGAAGGGTCTTTTAATTGTTATCAACAATCTGTTTATAGCTTCAAACTTTAATTAGCTTAGAGAACCAAACCTCAATGAAACTGCTGCAGGCCTGGAAGCATGATGACTTCCTTGAGGGTTAGGCCTGCCTGTGGCAGCGTAGTAAGATGGATGCCACACTATTGGACGATTTGTGCCATATCTTCATTGAATACAAGAAATAATAAAGCAGCAAAAATTAAAAATTACAGCAATATCTTAAAAACGGTAATATTATTTTAAATAATTAATAGTGAGAATACTGTTGTTGTATTATCTGTGACATTTGCAATTGTCATGTGTTCAATATAAAGCAATTTTCATCCATAAACATTTGAAAGCCAAGAGCAATCCCAAGAAACTTATTACGGAAATTAAACTATGACTATGTACCAGAAAGTTGAAAACGTCAAAATACTCAGAGCATGCATTTTTCCTGTAGCAACAGGGGAATGCGAGTCATAGACTATCTTGCAGTCATTAAGTAACAGTTAGTTAGTTAGTTAGTTAGTTAGTTAGTTAGTTAGTTAGTTAGTTGGGTTATCATCATTGCACTCCGGACATGTCCATAGGTGCTCAGATCCTCCCCTCAGTATGAATCCCAACGTCCGATGGCTAATAGTACCAGTTCTATGTTGATTAACAAGTCTTCTGACGTGTCCGGTGTGCGTCTCGTTTTTTGCTGTGCCGATCTTAATTCCCAAGTCTGCCATTCTGGCGAGTGATGTGGATTCACTGCCACCAAAGTCCTCTATCCTTCCCATTTCTCTGAGGGCATTGATAATATCAGCATGATCCATAGGCCGACCGTCGGTAGTGATAGCGGATCCAGCCAACCTGTCAGCTCTTTCATTTCCATCGACGTCTGCGTGTCCCGGAACAAAAATAAAGGTGACTCCTCGCACAGTGGACTTCTGAATTGATTCAAGCCATTGTCTTCACACTGAACCTGCCTGAACCCTCCGGATCATACTCATTGAATCACTGAGTATACATATGCGGGTGTATTTTTGTGTTTCAAGCCAGGCAAACGCTTGCGTCACTGCCATCACCTCCATCGTCATGCTGCTGGTTGTCATGGAGAAGGCGCCGTTGGCTTCTTTGACTGTTCTGCCCGCTGAGCGTGCTGTAAATGCCCATGCGCTTCTTCTTTGGCGTATAACTGATCCGTCTGTATAGATTAGTGCATCTGCTTCGTCTGAATTTTCACCGATGAGAGCGTTGACCTCTGCATTAACAGCAACAGGATTATCTTCTCTACATCGCCTGTTGAGTGTGACAATACAGGAAAATGTACAAATAAACGCCTGAGGCACAGGTATCCATTCTGCACCAGGTATGATGTCGGTTAGGCTGCATATTTGCCTTATAACATCTTCTGCCCGACCTAGCCACGATTTTTCCCTCTTCAGTCTGTCGCCCTTTTTACTAAAAAGCGCTTGATGCAGTGGGTGTTTCTTATCAGCACATATTTTGAGGTATGCCCGAGCCCTCCACATCCTGATCCTTTGGTTCATTGTTGGAAAGTCAAGTAGATACCTCATTGCTCCACAAGATGTGTCTCTTGTACATCCCAAAATAATACGCATGGCTTCATTTTGCACCTTCTCGAGTCGTTCAATCTGGGTAGCACTGACAGTGAGGATGGCCAGAGCATTAAGTAACAATTGCTGACTATTGTGAATATTGTATGCCTGTATTGAAACATTTGATGATTGAGTCTAATACAACAAAACAGATCAGAAGACAGCAACTAGATGATATTATTATTGGAACGACAATAAAGAAATGAAACTGTGAATTACTTTCTCATCATCATATGTGTGTATGCCTCATCTACGTAAGTAGCTATCTCTACTGTCTAGATATCCAACTATACTCCATGCCTGTTTAAACCTTTTGTGTTGAGAAGTAGGAGGATCTTTGAGCGAAGGACATGTGAACCTTTGCTGTCATACAGTAGGACACTCGATGGACAACATTTGAACCTAAGTGGCCATGCATTAAAGGTCTCGCTCAACAGACTTTTGACCCAGGTGTTATCACAGAGTAGGGGTTTGAGACAATAGACATAATAATCTGAGTTGGTCATTTAGTAGGTTACTCAGCCAGCATACTTCAATATGTTCCAATTGAGTTTTTTTTTTTAAAGTTTTTAAAAAAAATTATGTTATCTCTCATGCACAGAGGGTGGGCTGACGAGTGCCAGAGTATTTCTGAGCACTGGATCTCTAGAGGTCACTACAAGATCTCCTGCCAGCCCGATTTATGCCGATATATGCCATTATCCACAGCGCACAACGAGGACACATGGTAGAAGTCTTGCAATTAGGGTACGTAAAACTAGCACAGAGCTGGTGTCTGAAGTTAGGAGGAGATATACATTAAAACGCCTTTAACTTTCCCTCATATCTATGACTTAAATCACTGCACTGCTGTTGAACATATGGATTGTCCAGACTCTCCTCTCAACAGCCATTCTTGGCCATCCTATTCTTGGATTTTACTAGGCTGTCACGGGACAGATGGGGACCATCACTTGTCTGTATGCACAAATCTACTTCATGGTTTCTCTTGAATGTCCTCATTTGCTCAGTCTATGCATTCAGATTTCAGTGCATTTTGGTGAATCTCTACTCAAATTTTTTAAATTGTAGTCCAACCTTTTGATGCTATGTTTGCTAAATTATCTGTGTTTCTTAAGATTTTGTTGCCTCTCTTATTTATCGTCTGTAAAATCAAGATCCTCCTATTGTGTATTCTCTAGCCAGTCAATGCTTTGATTTCCTGCACAACATTTTTTTAATTACCCAGCAACAGTTATGCCAAATAACAGGGTCAATAAAATACACCCCTGTTTCACTGGTTTCAACTGCAAATCAATCACTTTGATCAACAATTCATTTTAGTAAATTTACAATAAATGAGCTCTAATTTAACACTGTATAACTCATGATGAGCATTTAAATATGAAAAGGGCATCACATTTTTCAGATTTAAAAAAAAAAAATTTAATTCATGAGTTCTTCCTACATTCTTCCTAGATTCAATTGTAGGCATGTTACATGAAAACAATTAAGATTCAATGACCAATGCATGAAAATAATTTAGATTTAATCTGTATATTTGAAAATTCCTACAACTCTCAAATTTATGTAAAATGAACTTTCTGATATAGTAACATATATTAAAGCATATTTCTTTAAAAGCTATGTAATGTCACAGAAAATAACACTTCATTGTTTTAAACCCTGAAACTCTCAGGGCTATCACAAAATCAGGAAAAGAAACTGATACCATTATAAAATACAGAGCTCACATTGAACATTTTGTCTGTGGTACATGAGAACTTGGTAGTCCAGAAGATGTAAGGATGTCCATGACCGTCTCTCGTAAATTACTTGTAGTCAGATAAATCTTGACTTGTTTTAGTGCTACAGATCAAAGTTAATCATTATAGAGATATCCCACATGTTTCAAATCATTTATTCCATTCTTCTGTGCACTTTCCATGAAGTGCACATAAAATATATAACAACTATTTATTAACAACAGCTAAAATAATAAACTGCAACAGGGAAGATGCAAGATGAGTATTTAACTAGATGACAATGAGTACTGTCAGTATGGAGACACTTTACTGGCTGTCAAGGAGGGTGATGGTGCTGATATGAGCTTTCCTCAATGCTGTGATGTTGTATTGTTACCCAGATGTATCCCAGATACTAAACTTAAATATACAGGAGAAATGGCTAACAGCTTTCACAGGAGTTGCCAATGAAGAATACTTGGCATTAGGTGCAAGAAAGGATTACAATAAGTTCACTCTACAATGTCTACACAAGTAAGACTGCAGCCATTGAGGGACTCAGAATTAGAAGGGTGATAACATTTGCAGATGATGTGCTGGCATATTGATAAGGCAGGTAAAGGAAGATAATATTGGAGGAGCTCCAAGTGGTAAAAAAGTAGAGGACCCTTTTCCACGCCTTCGAGTGTACTGGGCATATAGGGCTAGACCTATATTTTATTGACCAATCGGCACTTAGTGGATAATGTGGTCAACATCATACCAGGCGCCTTTACTTCCCAAGACTGCACCTAAATGTTGCCTGGGGATACTAACCATGTTAAAATCTCAGCTGGAGGAACTGGAATGCATTCACAGTGATGCTATGTGAACCATTATGGGATGCACAAGGGACATATCAGAGTTGTGTGTTTGAGACATAGATATGTCGACACTGCTGACAAAATAGACTGCAAGCTATGTGCTATTTTAGAGTGGCAAGTGATACAGAAAATGAGGAACTGGACACAGTGAAGGGTGACAGACTTAAGAGGGGCCCAGTAAATGGATCACTCAGTCTGAAAAAACAATCAACAGTGTCTGCAGCACTAAAGAGATTAGCTAGGGATAAGGAAGTGGATAAGAAAGTGTAAAGATACGAGAGGCGAGAGAAGAGCTGCAAATAATGGTAATTACCTTGGGACAATAATGCAGGGAAAGGGTGGCAGGACGTGCAGACGCTGAAGTTCAACAGCTTAAAGAGGACAACTCTGGGCCACAAGATGTGATTATATACATTGATGGGTCAGTGGCCAGGGGTAGAAAGTGGATGGGGCTTCATTGCGAAAGCATGGGGAAGAGGGATGACTGAGAGCTTGGCATATAACATTATCACCTCTAGCATAAGAATAGAGGTTAAGACAGTGACTGCCGCATTCTGATGGGTGAATAAAATCTCAGCCACACACACTGTCATCGTATCAGATTAAAAAAGCATGCTCAGGAGGGTAAGGCATGTTTTCTTCTAATGGAATGGTTGACATCATTCCAGCAGTCACAGATGGTGAGAGTCACATGAACATCTTGCTGGGCCATTCGTGCATGTTTGGGAATAAGCAGACAGATAGGTTAGCTGAACTAGCCCTACTTGGGGGTATACTGCAACTGTACAAGGCTGAGGTGATTTCATGCCTAGGGAAGCAAGGCAACAAGATAAATGGAAGAACTGAAAATCCACATCTAGAGAGACTGATGTCTGTGGGCTCTAGGCACTACTTGAGACTTGGGGGAAAGGCAAGACAAGTAGTTAACCGGATTATAACAGGTACCATCAGTATAAATCTTCTCAAGGAAGGAAAGGCGTCAGGCCCAGATGGTATCCCAGCTGAAGCCATCAGGAACAACAAAAACACATCAACAGAATTGCTACATAGATTATTCAGTAAAGTCTGGGAGACTGAAGAAGTACCAGCAGACTGGAGAGAAGGATATCTTGTGAAACTGCCCAAAAAAGGTGATCTACAGGAGTGTGAAAACTATAGAGGAATTATGTTGCTGTCAGTTCCTGGAAAAATATTAAGTAGAATTTTTTGGAAAGATTAAAAGATGCTATTGATAAAATGCTAAGGAATGAGCAGGCAGGTTTTCGGTCAAACAGATCCTGTACTGATCAGATAGCCACATTACGTATTATAATAGAGCAAAGCATTGAACTGAACTCACCACTTTACATTGGATTTATAGACTATGAAAAAGCATTTGTCAGCAGTGATAGGGAATCTTTCTGGAAATTGATGGGGCACTATGGAATCCCACAGAAAATTATCAACTTAGTAAAGGCAACATATAAAGACATGAAATGTCGATTTCTTCATGAGGGAAAGCTAACAGATGCATTTGAAATAAAAACCGGTGTATGACAGGGATGTCTTTTGTCGCCTCTCCTATTTTTACTGGCTATAGACTGGACTATGAAAACAGTAACTGCTAACACCAAGAATGGAATTCAGTGGACCCCTACAAAACAGCTTGATGATCTGGACTTCGCTGATGATATTGCTCTTCTGTCCCATTCACGGAATGAGATACAAGATAAATTAAATATACTTAATGCGAGATCACAGCAGCTTGGTCTGAAAATCTAAAAAGGAAAGACAAAGATAATGAGAATAAATCAGGCAAATAGTAATGTGGTTTCTCTTAATGGCACCCCACTCCAAGACGTGGAGTCGTACACCTATTTAGGCAGTAATGTAGATAAAGATGGAGGAACTGATAGAGATATTAAAATAAGAATACAAAAGGCAAGAGGGGCTTTCATAGCACTAGGGAATTTGTGGAGGTCAAAAGAAATTAAAAGAAATACTAAACTAAAAATTTTTAATTCTAATGTCAAATCAGTACTATTGTATGGGGCAGAAACATGGAGAACAACCAAGGCAATTACTAATAAATTACAGACATTCATTAACTGGTGCCTGCGCAGAATAGCGGGAATAAAATGGTATGATAGAATAACTAATGTAGAACTTTGGGAGAGAACTAAACAGGCTCGAGTGGATCAGGAGGTGAGGAAAAGACGCTGGCGTTGGATAAGGCACACACTGAGAAAACAGGAGAACAGCATAACTAGAATGTCTTTGCATTGGAACCCACAGGGGCATAGGAATAAAGGAAGGCCAAAAAACACATGGAGAAGAGAGCTGGAGAATGAGGTTAGAAAAATTGGGAGGACATGGGAAGAGCTCCATGCAATGGCGAAGGATAGAACGACTTGGCGTGAGTTGGTTGAGGGCCTATGCTCCATTGGGGGATAGAAAGGCAGAAAAAGAAAGAAGACCATCAGTAAAGAGACTCTTTGCTGAATGCTGTGATGTTAGATTTTTACCTAGATGAACTCAGGATAACAAACAATAAGTACTGGGAAGAGTAGCTATCACAACAATTTTCTTGGTACTCAGTCTTTAGAGAATTAGATGGCTAAAGTGTAAAGGATGGATAATGGCATAGGCTGTAAGAACTTCCTCTATGGTTAATTACAGATGGTTAGAAGATGTTACATGATTGACATAGGTATTTAGATGGTGTCAAGGGAGCAAGATGCCATGTTGCATCAACAACAACAAAAGTGGGAGGAGGTGGGGGGCAGGGATTAGAAAGAGAATAGAGGCAAAGGAGAAAAGATTGCAGACAGGTTAAGAGCTGAGCATTTGAGAAGAAACATATATTCATATGATAAAAACAATGGTCCTGCAATCTCAAACACTTACTCTAGGAAATATTTCTTAACTCGAGCTGGTCTTGCTAATCACATTCGCCATAGCCAGAGGCTGTGATTCCCATGCCTTCGTATAGCACAATCTAACACTATCATCTGGGAAGGATGGAAAGTGCCAACAACCAACACCAAATCACAGTCATGTTCACCTGGTTTTTAATGTTGCCTTATTATTCTAGAACTCCCTGCTTCCCATTCTATTAGTGCTTTCTCTGCTTTTGTAGACAGCATTTAGAGTCACTCCCTCACTGTGAGGGTATTTTCCTAGTTTGTTGTTTTTATTTTGACTCACTCTGTATGACTACAATTGCTTTTCTGAGTTAACATCAAGTTAAAATATCCTGGCAATGCCCTTATTTCAACTATTAGTTACCTTTGACTGAAAGTAATTAAAATCAACATACCCATTTTTAGCTTAGAAATATATCTTAGGTTTATACCTACATGACAAATTTTATACCTGCCATACAAGGCAATTCCTAGTTTAAAAAAAAAAAATATTTAAAGACCTGAAAACTCAACTTATATGCCAAGATTTACTTCATATTCTTCTTGTGTTTCTTTCCCACCCCCTCAAGGTTTGGTTGGATATCAGTTACATATCCTTGGGTTGTGGTATGTTTGTCATAACATATATTTCTGTATGATCGGGCTGGATTATATGTGAAGTTCATCAACCAACAAGTCTCTTAATGAAATCAGAACTCTTAAACTCACAGGAGCAACCATCATCACTCCCAGAAAAATGGAAGACCCGCAGATTATTTTCGTTCTTGGGAGGTAATTACTAAACCTTCTCATCAAACAAATTCTGCAAAAGGTTCAAATCTAGTTCTCTTGCTATTTTCACCGAAATGTTATTTGTGGAGTATTTGTACCATTCAGTGTTCACAAACTTTCTTCCACTGAAGTCAAATAACGCTGCTATTATGCAGTAGGGCAAGGACTACAAACCATGAAAAACTAGGAAACAAAGGTGACAGAAATTAACTGCCTACCAAGATGAAACTAAGTAATATTCATTCCTCAAATTTTTTAAAGGTGAGCAACTAAGATTTATGAGGTTCTAATACAAAACAAAAAATATTCACCTGGTTCACTGTTGTCCTGAGATCTGATATAAAATACAATTTCTTTGGCTTCATTTTTACCATCACTTGCATGGCCTGTCAGGTACTCATTTAAAAGTTTTAATGAATTTTCGTTGACAGCCTAAAGGGAAAAATAACATTAACAAGAATAAGTGGATTAACTCCATTACTTATGTAGTTAGACCAAGTTCACAATTGTGTTATGTAAATGAAGAAATCAATGACTGGGTCAAGAATTGAGGGGATCACGGCTAAAAGGAGCAGCAAAAGACAGTCTGTCAGTTTACTTCTCTCTCCACATATCTTAATGACAACTGAGATGGAAATGAAAAAAAAAATCACACTACAAGTAGAAAATAGAGAAAAAGAAATTAAATGAAAAAAACTTTGGTGTAGTAAGTGCATTAATTCTGACAGTACTGAGAACATTGAAACTATGAAAGAGGCAATTTTTCTAGGAGAAAAGGGTTATCAATGTTCAGCATTTTCATCTATTAACAAATATTCATTTATTTAATTTTGAATACACCATGCTCCTCCTTTTATGTGAGTGTGTGCGTGCGTGTGAATGCATGTGCGCGCATGTGTGCACTTTATTCATTTTTTTCACTTCATTCTAGCTCTTACTCTCCCTATTTTTCATATTTCCTGCTCATTTATTCATTGGTTTATGATTCCTGTTGTTTTATTAATTGATAAAGGGTTGAGGGTCATGGAGACTCAGGGCTGTAGTGGCTAAGACTCTCGGGCAGGGTAGCACACCAGCTGTTTCCCCCTTGTGAAGTTAAAGAGAGCTGCAGTAAAGCAATTAAAGAAAGTGCAACAGACATCCTTAGGCTCACAAGAGGAACTGGAATGCGTGGAAAGAGATAAGAAAGATAGAATAGAGGCTTTCAAGTGCTGCGCAGCAGAGGCCAAAAAAGCCAGAACAGCGTCGGTACCCCAGGATTGGGTACACAGCTACATGGTCCCCCTTCTGAAACCAGGCAAAGATTATTCCAGACTCGGTGGTTTCAGGATTATCACCCTACAAAATACTTTTGGCAAAGTTCTAGAGAAGATTATTGCTGTTAAACTACAAATGTTTTTGGAAAGGCAAGAGCTGCTGCCAAACGGTTTGGGTAGTTACCGGCCACAGAAAGATACATGGTATAATGTACAGAGTATATAAAAGAACTGAATGATGATAACAGCAGACAAGACATAGAGAATCACAAGCATTGTGAAGGACCGTCAATACTGAAAGCAGCAGTAGAAGACGCTATACACCAGGACTATTCAGCTGGCGGTCATTGGGCCAAATCTGGCCCACGGAGGCCTACCAAATGACCGGCCAATCATTGCCAGAACAATTAACTGTAATTATGTTTTTAAAAAATTAAATCGATCAATGTTTCGGAATCAATCTTCAAAAACCAGTTGTGCCAATAGAAAATGTTTTCAAGGAATCTGTATATGCTGAGATATAAGGGAACCAGCTAAGGGACAGAAGATGCCCCAATTGCAGGAATGTCTCATGCATGGAAATGTAATTGGTTTTAATTAGGATAGCAGAACACGCCTGCTGGGGCCATAGGTAATAAGATAGGCTGGAAAGAATCAAGTAACAGGTAGGAAAGCTACAGTTAATAAAGGTGAGGCATTTTTTGGACAGGAAGGCATATGAAAATAGCAGTACAGTCCTGACAGAGCTTAGATTACCGAGAAACTTTCCAAAATAGTGACGACTAGTATAAATAAACTAAAGACATTGGGAGCCGCAGAACATTAGTGACACTGGACACAACGGAACACATGCTAGTGATCTTATTATTAGATTATAATAAGATTTTTATGAACGTCCTGTCACACACAAATCACTGAGAAACATAGACTGCCAGACGCGATTGTATAGTGACAAACTGATTCAGTAACAGTGTTTTAAATTACCTACTTTTAATAATTTAGTTAAATACTTGAGGCCATGGCTACTACTAGTAAGAGATCAAAAATGGGGATGTGAAAATCATCATTCAACAATGACTGGACACTTAAAAATGTATTTATATCACCAAATATGCCTCATTCGAAACCAATATGATTGCTTTACAATGAACGTGTGTCGGCAGTAAAGGAGTACAATGTGAAGTGGCATTTTACAAAGAAACATGCAGATTTTGGAAAACCATGTCCAGATGGTTTTGCTGCTAGGAAATCAAAGGTTGAGTTGTTGATACTTAACAAGAAAAAGCTACAGCCGATTCTTTGCATGTTTCATGGATATTAGACAAAAAGAAGCAGCATTTCACTTACTCAGAAACCGTAAAAAAGAATGCATACTGGCAATTCTGGATGAAATAGCAGTCAATGATAAAATAAAAACAAGCATAACACTGCAATTCAGAAAATCCCTATGTCAGATACTTCGACAATACGCTGAATCACAATTTTAGGAACGGAAGTTTTTTAATCTTCATTTGAAAGCATAAAGCAGACAGAATTTGCGTCAGTTGCCACTGATTAATCTACAGACATCACAGACGTGGCTCAGTTATGTTTATATGTGTGTGTGTTTTTTTTTAATGGAAAATGTTTTCGTGAAGAACTGCTAGCTTTGATTGCATTAAAAAATTTCACCCTGGAGAAGTTATTTCTGAGAAGATTAAGTTTTTTTTAAAGAAAATGGACTTGATCTGAATATAATTTATTTATTGGTAACGGACGAGGCCCCACCAATGTTAGGTAAGCACCAAGGTGTAACAGTGTGACTTTCTGCAGTAGCATCTCAGACGCAGTCGCCACATTGTCTTATCAATAAAAGTGTTCTGTGCAGCAAAGTGAGCGACGAAATGAAAGGAACAATGAATATAGTGATGAAAATAATCAATTTAATTCAACCCTCATCAAGTCTTCAGCACAGGTTATTTCCACAGTTACTTGAAGAAACAAAAGCAGATTACAAAGACTGCAGAAATATCTGCACAATGACGTTCGTTGGGTGAGTAAAGGGAAAGCACATGATCGTTTTGGATGTATCAAAGAAGAAATAATATCTTTTCTCAGAAACTGTTCTCATAGCAAGATAGAAAGGTGTAGAATGTTACACGACAGTGCATTTTTGGCAAGTGTTTGTTTTTCTAAACAACTTGTATGCTCATTTTAGCACAATGAACTTGAAACTGCAAGGAAAGACACAAGACAATCATAGATCTGGTTGAAAAATTTAATGCTTTTCGAGATAAGCTGCCTTTGTCTGTAGCAGATCTTCAGTCAGCCAAACTTCTTCATTTTCCAAACCTGAAGAATTTCATTTCTTCAACATTGGACTCAGCAACCATAACCACTTGAATGATAGAATTATTTAAAAAACTACAGAATAATTTCAACAACAGATTTGAAGACTTCAGTATCTCAAACAATGTAATGTTATTTGTTCGAGATCCTTTTAAAATCCCTCAAGCGGGTGATTTTTCTTTGAAAGCTAAGAAGCTGTTATCCTCTGTTGATGAGGGTTCTCTGCAGTTAGAACTTGTGGATATCCAAAGTTCCAGCGCACTAAATAAATATTTCAAGAAAGTGGTACAGTCAAGTTTTGGTGAGAAATGATGCAACAAGAACAGTTCCCTAATGCTAGAAAAGTTGCCAGATTAATATTCACCATGTCTGGTTCAACTTTCACTTGTGCATCCAGCTTTTCACACAGGAATGTCATCAAGACAAACAGTCGTAGCTCACTGCACAATGATAGGCTGCAGGATTGCATGAGAATTGCTCTGACTTCACACCAGCCAAATTGTATCTAATTAGCTCAAAAACAAAACGGAAATGCAACTTTTCTCACTGTTTACATTTTGCATCGTTATAAATTTCGGTTTCTTCTATACAAAACCATATGAAACGAACTGTAGCCAGTTATTATTATTATTAATATGATAATGCAATTGAAGTGACAGTGCTAAAATAATAATAACTCCAACGCAAGTTGGAAATCCATGCATTTCAATTAAAAGTGAGTTTTAATTTACCATTACAAGGATTGTGGTACACTTTGCAACACAATGGTTTACAACACTGTTTCATTTACATTATCGCAGGCTAGGCCCTAGATGTAACAGTTTTAGGGTGATTGAAGTTATGCATTGAAAATTTTCTCACTTCTAGTACGTTAATAATCTTCCACACTTGGGCTCAGACTGTGACGATCCACATTTTGATCATTTTGGCCAGCGACTAAACTTAGTTGAAAAGCCCTGCTACACCACATGAAGAAATGTAAATCTCCAGGGCCAGATGACATCATGACTGAAGAATGAAAAGCTGATGGTAAACTGGGTTTAGAAATGTTGACAAAATTGTTCAGTAACATTTAAATCAGTGGATGTACGTTACGATCTTTCATACCTTTGCCAAAAACACCTGGTGCAGTGGATTGTGGAGAACACTAGACACATAGCTCAATGAATCATGTCACTAAAATAATAATGAGAATTACAATGAGAAGAATAAGATGCAAAATTAAATCAGAAATTGGAGAAGAGCAGCAAGATTTTGTTAAAGGTAAAGGCATAAACAACGCCATATTTATCTTGAGAACACTTATAGGAAGAATTATTGAAATAAACACAGATATGTATCTATGCTTTGTTGACTACATGAAAGCATTTGATAAAGTGAAACATGAAGAAATTATCAGAATTTTGGAAATCTTGAACATTGAAGGTAAAGATCTGAGAATAATTTTTAAAAATAAAAACCATATTCTAGCAACAAAAAACAACCTTAAGAATTGACAATAAAGTGGGAACTTTTCAAAACTTAAGCAGTGCGTTAGACAGGAATGTGTACTATAACCCATTTTATTCAATTTATACAGTGAAATAATTATTAGATGCATACAAGGTATGCCAGGAATATTATTTACTGAGTATTCTGTGAGCGTCGTTATCCCATTCGTAATGGTTTGAGGCATGATTTTCTAGGGATAATACAGTTGTGAATTCTGGACAATCGGTAGACAGGCCTCAGAGATGTGGTTTTACAGAAGAATGCTTAAAATACCTTGGACAGCCAAAAAGAGCAACCATGAGGTTTTGAAAAAGGCGGGAGCTCGAAGACAACTTATCACAAACATCAGAAGAAGAC